TTGTCTCTGACCAATCTTTATTAAAAAAATAAAAAATAAAAAAATAAAAAAACTTGTTTTTTCTATTTTACTTTTATGTCAAATGAGCTTAGGCGTTTTGTGTAATCATTTAATGAATTTGAGATCCATTCTAATCGATTTTTTTTTTATTCAACGAATTTTACCAGGAACTAAATTTTGTAAGAACGGTTTTAAAATTTACTAAATTTATTTTAAAATGAATGTAATAGATTTTAAACGAGATTTAAGTATTGAATTTACTTTAAATTTATTTAAATTTTATTAAATTAATTTTCTTATTATTGTAACATAATTTTTAATTGATTGTTTAAGTATCCCATTTGCTTCAAAATTATTTAAATGTTATTAAATTTATTTTTCGATTTTTTTTTCTTTAATAAAATATAAAATGTGCGTCAATAAAATTTTGATCATAATTTATTTTAAATAAATAAAATATAAAACAAAAAAATTAAAGCTTATATTTTATTCATCCAAATTCATTCAAATAAAACATTCAGATGCAAATTTGTTTTTTTCTATTCATGAATAATTATCTATAAAACATGAATAATTATGCAATTTACATGATAAATTCACAATAATTAATAATAATAATAATAAATATTTCAAGAATTCAAGAAATATAACTAATTAAGACCCTTCTTCCTTTCTCTCCCTACCTCTCTCAGTTATGGAGCGGATTGGAGCCGGTGGGCACTCTTCTCTCCCCCCCGCCGTACTCTCCCGACTGCCGGAGCCACCGAGAAGGCGGCGGCGGAGTTCGACGGCGATGAGGATTGCAGAGGGTAAGGCGGTTGCAGGTGGCGGCGCCGGCAGAATTTTCTGGCAAGGAGAGTGAGATGTGGAAGAGAAGTGTGGAAGAGAAGAGGAGGATGGAGAGGAGGAGAAGTCGGCGGGTTTCTTTCATGGATTGTTTAGCGAGAGAGAGATTGAATGATGTTATAAAAATTTGGTATCGGCTACTGAATGCGTTATGTGGGAGTTTATATACATTAAGTTCTAGTTATTAAGTTCTAGTTATTTGAATAAAAAGGACATTTACATATATACTGCCTAATTTCTATGTATTTACATATTAGCACCTACACATTACGTTTTTTATTTCAGTATCACTCCAAAGTTTCAATTCACATTAAAAATATTTTCTTTCTAAGTATAAAAGTGAAGTGCAGTTTTCATGCATGTATAAGGTGGTATGTGTGTAAAAATTGAAGTTTAGATGATAAATATGTTATATATATATATATATATATATATAATTTTATTTTATTTTTATTATTATTATTATTTTTTTTTTTTTGCCACATATGATGGCTAGTAATCGTTCAGCAACAGGTGTGAGGATTTTGCAGCTGCTCTCTCTAACTCAAGTTGCTCCAGGAGATGCAATTATATAGACTTCTTATATAGCTGTTGCCTGGATTTATAAATATGTTTTATCAAATGTTGCAGTAATTGGTTTCATTTACGATTATGAAGGTTGTGTGTGTGTTCCACAAACCGTGAATTGCTGGTCGGCGATGATCACTGTAAGTCACCTCAGGTCACGGGTTCGATCCCCGTGGCACGGGATTTTAGAATTCTTAGGCACATGACGCGAATTCTCATCATGGGACCTTATTGCGAATGAGAAATCGATATTTGGGTCTCTGTCGAATATTGATGGTTTATATATATATAAACCTCTAAAATTTTCTATTTACACTTATAGCATTTTGTTGTCGTAAAACTTATGCATTGAAAATATTTCTTTTTTTAATAAATAAATAATAATAATATTTTTATATTATATTAAATATTTGAGTGATATACATGCAAATATGAATATTTTAGTGTTAGATATGCAGATACATACAAATTATGTCATATAAAAATGAAAAAATTATGTCATATAAAAATGAAATAAATTGAAGAATTATTATCAACAATTATATTATTTTTCTTAATGACATTGTTGAACCCTAATCAGTCCTTTGAACTGTGCCCAAGAAATAGAATCGGATTGTGAGGGAAGAAGAAAAAAATAGTGATGGAGATTGATGGGTTGCCACACGAGGGAACAAAGAGTGGTGTTTTCGAGCTCGACGGCCTCTTTCATTCCACATAACTTGAAGCTTACAAGTGGGAAGAGAAGGGGAGAGATCTCCTTACATGAGGGGTAAGAGAGCCTTAGGGACTCCATTTACATGCCAAGAGATATTCTATCTATAGATAAATAAAGAAGAGGATTACATTTATGTCCATGTTTAAAAAAAAGTAGCGAGAGATATTTTGGTTTTTTCTTTCATTCTGAAGCATTGGAGTACGTCGACGTTGGGTGGTCGGCTACTGGCGTGGCCGGCCAAGGCAGCCGACTGGAGTTGGATGGCCGACTCGAAGAGCTAGTGGCCGGCCCGAGGAGCTGGCAGCCGCCCGAGGAGTTCGACCATCTGGAGCAGGGTGCCACCCAAAAGAGGTAATCCCTGAATGCTTGACTTCGCTGACGACTTATCCTGGCTCGGGGAAGTGGCATTTTCTGGCTATACATAAAACCCCTGAGTTTTACTTATTAGAGGCAAAACTTCGATAAGACTGAAAAATTCATAAGTACAGAAAATATTATTTTATAAGCCTCTATTTGGACTTAGTTTTGTAACAGTCTTTTTGTTGGCTTTTAATGAGCAGATTTTTTAGAAGATTATTGGATGAGTTTTTAGATTTTTAGATATAATATTTAGTGGATCCATTTTTTAGAAGATTTGTTTGCTTGTCTCGGACGGGAGACTTTGTTTGCCCGCCTCGGATGAGAGACTTTGTTCATCCGTCGCGGAAGAGAGACTTGGATAGAAAGAGTATTTTTCTTTTTCTTGTGGAATGTTCTCTAGGTTGAAAGACTTAAGTGACGAGAGAGAAGACTTTTTTAATCTTTTTTCTTTCTTTTTATTTATCTTTGCCTTGGAAATCTTTTGTTTTGTCATCTACTTTTATATGTTGTTATCTTTTTTACTTTATTTTTTTGTCTTTTGACTTGTCACATCTTGTCTCCTTCTTCTTCCTCTTGCTTCTTCTCTTCTTCTTTTCTTTTGTTTTGATTTCTTATTTCTCTATTTTGGGCATTCTTCAATGTGGATGACTATTCGTCTTGTTAGCAACACACTCCTCACTTATCGCACATTTTAGGGTGTTGAGCCCAAATTTGTCATTTGGACCGTGCCAAAAAAATATAGCTAGATTTTGAGCGAAAGAGAAAGAGAAAGAGAGAGAGAGAGAGAGAGAGAGAGAGAGAAAGAGAGAGAGAGAGAGAGGAAGAGTTGTCCCACTGAGGCAAAGTCGGGTTTTCGCGAGCTTATTGGCTCATTTTATTTCACATAATTTGAATGTTAAAAATGAGAAGAGAATCAGAGAGATCTCCCTGCATGAGGGGTAAGAGAGTCTTAGGGACCCCCTTTGCATGCCAATAAATCCTCTATTTATTGAGAAAAAGAAGGGGATGGTGGTCGACCTGAGGGGTTGGTGGCAGCCCAAGGGGGCCGACCAGCTGGAGCAGGGTGGCCAGCCAAAAAGAGGAATCCTTGCTTGCACGACTCCGACTATAACTTATCCTGGCTCTGCGAAGTGACATTTTCCAGCCATACAAACATATATAAGGAAGTTAAATGTGAAGCTTTATTTATTACACTCTGGTTTAAAACTAAAATCAAGAGGCAAGAAGATAAATTTTCAATTTCAAACTCACAGTGAATTATGTATTGGGAAGTTACAAATTTTTTCTATATTATCCTTGGAATATTCTAAGCAATATTTGACATAGAATATTAAAAGTTTGTTGTTGATTACATCATATTACCAATAGAAAAGAATGTCAAGAGATAAAAAAGTAATGATCGAAGGACAACAAATTGCCAATATTATAAAAAATCAATGACTTGCAATATGAGCAATTCTAATTGGACATCAAAAAGGTGTCACAAATGATCTTAAAAGGGATCCAACGATCCAGAAAAAAAAAAGAGTAAAGTGAAGATTGACCCACTTACGAGATGATCGTGAGGCCCACTTGGCCAACAGAGCAAAGTCATACGAGCCGAGCCAATAAGGCCAAAACCGATTAAATCACTAGACAGACAAAAAAGTAACTTGATGACTCAAGCATGAACTAATTCGGCTAGAAACAAGATAATTGAGCGTCTGAGCCAACTACTACAAAAAAAGTCGATCCAATATGATAGCCTACCCTCCATTAGAGTTGATTCAAGGGAAGATCCAACTTTACAGTATCTTTATGACTCCAACCATCTTACAGACGCTCCAGAAGCTCCTGACCAGGGATCAAAGATTGACAACCAGGTTAGATCAGTCGGTTGACCCATACCTACCAAGCTTAACCGATTGACCCATATTGACTTTGTTGGCCTCCAACAACACTCTAACCGACACTTTCAGCTTCACTTCTTACATGTCTTCCAGGGACAAGACCATCAGAATGTACCAACCGCATGTGGACAACCCGATAGCTAGAATAACAGACCAAAGAAAATTGGACAAACCCACCCAAACTAACCCAGAACAAGAACAAATGACTGAAGAGGTTAATTGACCACATGATTCCCAACAGGTGATACAACATGATGAAGGTCATAATGATAGTGATAGAGTTGGGCTTGACTTGGGCAGAATGATGCCGTAATTGGCCAGTTCATCCAGCTCATGACCTAGGAAGTCAAACCTTTAACCAAAAAAAAAAAAAAACACTTAAACCCGAGCTTTTTTAATGAATAAGCACGAGCTGGCTGCTCGATGAGCTCTCTATTAGTGAGCTCACGAAAGAGTCTAGTTTGCGCTGATTTGGCTTTCTTGCACCCACTAACAATGATAATCACATTCATAATTTGATTTTTTAAGTCAGAATAAAATAGAAAAAAAAAACAATATTTCAACTGACATAATTTTTTAAATTTCTACATTTTCTTATTTACTTTTTTAGCGCTCCCCATTATGCCTCTAAATTGTGTCCCTCACCAAGCTATCCCCACGAGGAACAAATTACAAACCGGAAAACAAAAATCAAAGCAAGAAGCAAACTTGTGGATCACAGCCACACCCTCAACGGTCACCGAGAATCTTCTCTCAATGCCTTGCACTTACGTCCCTCCCTCTTCTTCGTCTTCTTCTTCTCATCCCCTCAGATTTCTCTGAATCTTCCCATCACCTGTTCGGCGAAAATTCTCAAAGAGCTTCTCAGCATAAGCCAATCAACTCTCCTTTTTCCATGGAGGTGCTGCAACTCGCTTCCACTCACCTCTTCTCATCCTTCCGCCGCGCTCCGCTCCACCGCAAGTTCAGTGCTTCCACCTCCCCACCCCTTCCCTCTCCTTTCATCCGCCGCCCAGAGATAGACCGGCGGTCCCCATGGACTAACACTGGTGTTTCTCCGCCGGCGCCTTCGAGAACGACGGAGGATTGTGCGGCACTCTGGTCAGCTGCCGATGAGCTTGAGCTGTTCCTTGATCTGGTGCCGCCGAGTATGCGCAGAGACTTGACCCGCCATGCTGAACTCACGGAGCTGATTGAGTTCGTCATGGATCTCGGGAGAAAGCCGATCGCGAGGTTTCCGTCCGGCGATTGGGTTGTCTCTGACGAGCCTGTTAAACTCGGGGATTTGCGGCACGCCATTGGGAAGGTACTGGGACTTTAATAAAGATCATAACTTTCTTCTTCCATTGATGAGTTTTGTTCAGATTTGAGATCTTTGGATCGGTGAATTTGAAGGTGGGGGAGTTTTCTGATGACAATCGTTCGGGAATTGATCGTTCTTTGCACCGAGTCAGTGCGATTCGGAACCGTAAGAAGGAAATAATTGGGCTGACTTGCAGAGTTGGGCGAGCTGTTCATGGGAGTGCGGAGATGGTGCGTGATTTGATTGAGGGTAAAGGTTCCATTTTGGTCATAGGGCCTCCTGGAGTTGGCAAAACTACCTTGATCAGGTTGTTATCTTTGTTCTATAGTGTTTATTCATGTTTTATCAATTTGTTTGCTTCAAATTTACTTTTTTTTTATGCTATCGGAACTTAGTGTGAAGTTATCTCAAACAAAGGCCGTGTTTGGCAGCTTGCTATTTATCGGATTTAACCTTGGATTTAGCTTAAATCTACCCAAACAAAAGTAAGGACCCATTTGGGGTAGCTTATAAGTGCGGTGACTTTTTGGAAAACGCTGTCTAACCGTTTGGTTTGAGCTTTTTTGAAAATGCTACATTCTGCGTTTGAGTTTTTTACACTAAATGCAGGCCACGGGTCGACCCCTGCGGGCTATGTTTCAGTATAAGCTGCTTATCCTGAAACGCATCAGCTGCTCCAAACAAATCATAAATCCAATGCACCGTTAGCAACAATTTTCCCGCATTCCATTGTTTTCCTCCCGCGTTCCATCAATTTGATGATGTAAATCCGGATTTCATAAATCCGAATAAGAGATGGATTTATTTTGCCGTTGATCGCGTGGGATTATGGATTTAATAAATCCTATTTAACATAAAACTTAATTGCAGCCAAACACCTCAAAAAGGTGTTGAATTTCACCATTGAAATGGTATTATTTTCCTTCAAACACTGATTCTGTAGTCTTAAAAAAATGAAATAATGAGTGTTAAAAATTCTTATGCCATTGGAACTTATTCGGACTGTTATGTAATTTTTATGTTAAGGCGGATGCTAATAAGATTTTATTAATTCATGAAAATTAACTTGCTCATTTTTTTATAAAAGAAAGGATAATTACTACCAAACCGATGTATTTATTCGTGTCACGATCAAACTATTGAGAATTTGATAAAAATGAAAATGCGGGCCGGGGTTTTACCATATATTTTGATATTTGAGTGAGAATTTGAAAAAAAGGATGAAAGAGGGTAGTTGATTTCTAATTAGGATATTTTGGGTGGTCTGTATGTAATTGTCCCTAAAAGAAACTTTACATACATACCACAAAATTCTTATGTATTTATGTATATAACACTTAAATTTTGATATTTACATTTACAATACTTTAATATCATAATCACATCAAAACTTACACATGAAAATGTGTATTTTACTTTAAAAAGTTAGTAATAGCAGTATATGGTGCAGACCCCTATTAAATATCTGATTGTTATGTTTATAAATATCAAAATTTAAAAATTAGAAATCTAAATATGTAAGCATTATACGATATGTATGTAAATGTCCCCTTTTATAATTTTTTTTCGGATTTGTCCTTAATCCTCATAATGATGCTTGGCTTGTCAAAAACATATTTTTTGCAGGGAAATAGCTAGAGTGCTGGCGGATGAGCACTTGAAACGTGTTGTCATTGTCGACACATCCAATGAGATTGGAGGCGATGGCGATGTACCCCACTCCGGCATCGGACGAGCGCGCAGAATGCAAGTTCCTGATGTTAATATGCAGCATAATGTAAGTAAATTCCTCAGCAAATGGATTCCATTAACAATGTTTCTAAAGGTTTTCAGCATTTTCAGGCTGTTTGCTCTTTGCTATTATTTGTGCAATGCCTATCCAGGTTATGATTGAAGCAGTTGAAAATCATATGCCGGAAGTTATTATAATTGATGAAATTGGAACTGAGCTCGAAGCGATGGCAGCGAGTACAATTGCTCAGCGAGGCGTCCAACTAGTTGGCACGGCCCATGGAGTTACGATTGAGAGTATCATAAAAAATTCATGTTTACAGGTTCTAGTTGGCGGTATCGAGGTAAACATACCTTGCCAGTTTAATCAACATAATATTTGTTAGTTGGAACATTTACATATATACCAACCAATTCTTATATGTTTACATATCCAATGCCTAAAGTTCAATTTTTACATATATGTCACCTTACCTATGCATGAACAAGTGTATTTTGCTTTTTAGAAGTTAAAATAGTGACATTTTCTATGTGATTTGATTGATTTTGGTGGTGTAAATGTAAGAAGCCAATTGTAGGTGTTATGTATGTAAATACATAGGAATTTGGTGGTGGTATGTATGTAAATGCGCCTCGTAAATTTAAAGCTTTTGATGGCCATCTTTGTTCTATTTCCTTGAAAAGCACTCCCAAGGTGTGTTCAACATTATGTTTTTATAATTCTTTTTCTTTTCCACACTCCTTTTGCAGGCTATTTTAACTACTAAAATATAAATGCATATAGTATAGGTGAAAAATAATGTTAAATAAGATTTGGGGCATTTACATACATACCACACATTATTTATTTATTTACATACATACATACCACTCAAATCTTCAACATAGCATAAAAAATACCACCCTTACTATCTTTTTTAAAAGTGAAATGCACATTTTCATAGGAATATGACTCTAGTATGTTATAAATGTAAATGTCAAATTTCTGGTGTTAGATATGTAAACATATAAGAATTTTGTGGTATGTATGTAAATTTCCCATAAGATATTAATATGGCTGATAGTAATTCTTAATTCTTTCTTCATCTAGAGTGTTACACTTGGTGATGAAGAGGCAAAAAGAAGGAAAGTTCAGAAAACAATACTTGAGAGAAAAGGCCCTCCTGCTTTTACCTGCGCAGTGGAAATAGTGTCTAAGAATGAGTGCAGAGTGCATCACAAATTGGATGCCACTGTGGATGCCATTCTTGCCGGTAATTCTCCTTTGTTTTAGACCTAAATTGTTCTTAATGTTGCTTGGTTTCATCATCTGTAGATTGTAATTCTTTGTATTTTGCGAAAATAGGTAAGTCTCCTATGTTTGAAGTCCGAAAACTCGAACCAACGGAAGACGAGTTTGGAGATTTAGCTCCATTAATTGATAAGAATTTCAAAGATCAAGCATCTGCAACCAGAACCATGGACGAAGATCTAAAGAAAAAATTCGAACAAGCATTTACTGTTGTTTCAAGACGTAATAAGCAAGGAAGCAATGCAAAATTGGATTCGAGTAATGCTATACGTGTATATATTTACAAGGTAAATACTGAAATTCTAGTATTAGCTGGATGAAACTAAGAACTCAACTAGTTCTTTTTCTTCTATTTTCCACAATTTTTTAAGATTTTGGAAGCAGATCTATTACAAGTAGCCAAAGTAATGGGTCTAGAGGATCGGATAGACGTTGTCAATGACATTGAAATGGCCAATGTGGTTGTTGTATCGAGTTATGAAATGAAGGAGAACCCCTGGATACACAGTGTGGCAAAATATCATCAATTGCCAGTTTTCGTGATTAAGGTAATATATTTCGTCAGGAAAATATATTTTTGCTCGTCAAATTCCTAGTTCATATTGAATGTTTTAGTTTTTATTACAGGAAAATACAATGGCCCAAATGGTAAAAGCAATTAGAATGGTTCTTGAGGTAAACTCATTTGGATCTGCTACGAAAATACCCGCAACTTTCGTAGAAAATATTGAGGTTGAAGATGATGCACCAAAGAGAAAACCTACCTTGGAGGAGATTGATGCCTTGGAGGTATGGCGGTTTGTTCCATGTTCATATTTTTCAAAATTTTCATTCTTTCAATGGATAAGGTGTCATATATGTAAAATTGAATCTTATGTATTTGATATGTAAATACATAGAAATTGAGTGTCATCAATGTAAACTTCCATCTATATATTGAACCATACACTGCAAAGCTGACAGACCATTCTGCTGCACAACCAAAACTACAGCTGCTAACTGCTTACCTTATTCTTGTGCCAGGAGGTTCGAATGGCTATCGAATACATCGTAATTCCGGGCGGAGAACCCGTCGAACTCCTTCCTCGATGCTCTGAAATTATAGCTCGCCAGCTAAAGCTTGTTGAAAGCTACCAACTCGCCGCCGAGAAGTCGGGCACCGAGTTGAATTCGAGGTTGCAGATTCTTCCATTGAAAATAAGCAAGAAGGGGTCCTCTACAAGAAGATGTTCGGAGTCCCATTTGAGGAAACAAGCCAGTATTGATTCATTCAACTATGGGAATTCTGGTACAAGTTTCTCTAGGCTTCCCTTTCTACCTAAATATTGAAACCTTTAAACGAAAAGGAAATTTACATAACTACCACACAATTCTTATGAATTTAAGTATCTACCACTGAAAGTTTTGATATTTACATTTATACGACCTTGGTGCTATAAATGCATGCATACAAAGGTACATTCGACTTTTAGAAAGTTAGTGAATAGATATTTTTGATGTAATGTTAAATATTTGAGAGTTATGAATGTAAATATGAAAGTTTAGGCGTTAGATATGTAAATACATAAGAATTGTGTGGTATATATTGCCATCATGAATCTATGATTGGCATTTGAGAGTTGTTGGCATTTGAGAGTTGTGGGATATATTCTTTACATATATTGTTAAGAGAAAAGGTTCAAAGTAATCCCCCGACTATTTGCAGGTGTCCAAAATAGCTCAAGGCTATGTAAAAAGTCAATTTAGTTCCTAGACTGTTTAAATGAGAACAACAATGGTGTTGTCCCTAATTAAGTACTATGTGGACTAATAAATTAGTCATTTACATAGTTTGCGCCTATTTTGCATCACTTATAAATAATCAGGGGATCATTTTGATTATTTTCTCTCTTATATGTACAATATTGTAAATTAAGTTTTTTTAGGATTTTCTGAATGTAAATCTTACTCATTCTTTTAGTAAATATTTTAAGCTGGCAAGTTACATTAGTTGCCTTGAAGTTGGATTGATTCTTGTTTTAGCTTTATGATCCAAATGTATTGCTTGCAAATAGAAATTTTTTTTGAAAAATATCATTACCTTTAAGAAGTTTTTGCTCCTGTTGATAATTAATATATTAAGTGATATCGGAGTTAACCCTTAATCACAATTGAAAAAAATAAGTATTATTACTGAAAGCCAATTAGGTGATTAAAACTCATACACTGAAAGTAAAATGCAACAATTGAAATAAGTGAACACAACTAAAATGTATCCCAAGGGTGGTGTGGGTCAGTAGAGTGGGCTGAAATGGGTAGGTTTGGGTGTTGGAAGGTGGTGGATTCAGTGGGTAAGGTTTTTAGAAAATGGATGGGTTGCGGTGAGGCCTATCGAGGGTGGAATAACAACAAGGCGGCACAGGGGATGGATTTAGGCAGCTGGAAAAGCGAGGACAACACGGGGAACGGTTGGGACACTAGCTAAGTAGTGGTAGAGGGTGGTAAGGACGGTTGGAATGGTTACGATAGCGAGAGAGACAAATTATGGAAGGTGCCAACATGTGGGAAGGGGTAGGGTGCAAGTTCTGGAGGCAGTGACCTGTTGGAAGGGGAGGCACGGTGGCGGGGAATTTGGGAAAAGGTAAGGGCAGCAACTCGTTGTTCTTGATAGCGGCAGCAAGTAGAAAAGCAGCTGGCACTTGCCTGAAGATAGAAAACTGTAGGAAGAAGCAACAAGATAGTTGTTTTGGGTGGTTGCAACAGGAATGGAGTGGCCGAGAGCGATGTGGGGATGTGGAAGGAATAGGGGCAGATGATCACCACTTCATGTGAGATATACAATCCTAGCACCACTCAATCCCTCGCCCTCGAAGGGAGAAACGGGTGTGGAGTCACAGAGGCAAGCTCCTCCCACATCATCAAGTTTCATTATTGTAAAAATTTGTTTTCTATTTATAAGAAACATCCCTAACATGAAATAAAAGTTGATTGCATGAAGTCATTTTGCACTTTTGCACCAACTATTTGCCAAAATGTCAAATGCAGTTAGTTTGGTTTGAAAAAGCAAGAACTTTGATTCATTTATGCATTTTACCTATTTTTGTGCTAGGAAAAATATCTCATAAAAAATTTAGGTTTATTTGGGCATAAATTTTTGACAGCTTTTCCATTGTTTTTTATGAAAATACATGCATATTTATTTACATTAACAACTAAAGTTTGCTATTTTACATTTATGCCACTCATATTTTTCATATCACAGAAAAAATATCATCATTTTAACTTTTTTCTAAAGTGAAATACACATTTACAGGCATTTTCAAGCTGTTATGTATGTAAAATTTAGGTGTTAGATATATAAATACATAGGAATCGAGGGCCATGTATATAAATCTTTCTTTATTTTAATATAATTATTATGTAATTATTTTTTTTTATAAAAAAATATTAATAAATGCATTTATGTTTTGACAATTCTCTCCCCAATTCTAGTGAAAAAAGAGGGGAA